CTTGGAAAACTGACTGCTCTTCTCAGGTCCATAGAGAAGTTGTTACCTAGAGTGCTGTCTCAGAAGATGAGATTACCCATTGCATAGCCAAGATTAGCTCTGCATTTGGAATGTTGTCACAGTGCCAATGGAATGATAGGGAGAGGCATCAAAACAAGCACTAAGCTAAATGTCGGTTGGTCAGTTGTGCTAACAACGGTTCTGTATGGTTGTGAGATGTGGACAACACATTGCCGTCATATCAGAAAACTTGTCAGTTCCATACTTGCTGTTTTCAATCTGTTTGCAAGGGCAAATGGCAGGACAAAATGCCTAATACTGAAATCCTTTATCATTACCAGCATTCAAAGCGTGCTCATAATAGCTGAGCTGTGTTGGTCTGGCCAGCTTCTTATGGTAGACTTGAGAATACCCATGGCTGTGTTTTGTTGTCAGTTAAAACAAGGCACCTGCTCTCATGGTGGTCAGTACAAATGGTATGAAGATACACTGACATCAAACTTGAAAGCCTATCAGGTCAATTTCAGTAATTAGGAAGCAGTAGCCCACAACAGGGTGGCAGCAGATTTGTCATGTTGCCATTAACCACTTTGAAGCAAGATGCATCAACACCTGATGTGAAAAACATGAACAGTGCAAAGCAAGGATCAACAACTTGCAGTGATCATGGACAATTTTGTCTGTCCCACATGTAATCATGTTTACAGTTCTTGCATCAGTGTGATTTCCCCCCCCACATCCGTGTTCATGTACAGTGTTCTCTGAATCCTCAAACGTTGACACTAGACTCCATCCATCCAGTAACTTAGTCTATAGCATGAGTACAAACCAGTTTGTAACAGTGGTGAGGGTGCAAACAGTGTTAAAATGGAGGCTGTAACCAGATGAGCACTTGGTCATGGCATGCCATCTGTCCTGGCTTACTGAAGGCCTGACTGCTACGCTTACAGTCAAATCAAGGGACCTGGTAACATTTTGTTAAGGTGACCATCTATGCTATAGCCTAGGACCATGTTATAGCAAGGTCTGTATAAATCTAGTAGCAAAATGATTGTGATAACCAGTGTTTTCAGGGTTACTGGTCTTGAAGCATAGAAAATAGGTAGAACTTGAGTTTCATTCCCAGCAAGTATGACAGCAGAACAGTTACATTTTTGCCGGCAAGCATCTTCCTGAATAAGCTAACTTGATGTGATCTTGTACTTGGAGTCTCAGAATGTTTAACTGCTGAGCTCATATGTATTCTTCCAGGCTTTAGTTCTTTAAATATATTTGTTCTAAATGACAGACAATGCTAATGCATTGAGAGAACTTTACCCCGTATTTAATCTTTCTCTTTATTATTAATCAACAGAAAACCGCACCCATAGAAACAGAATTTTTAGTAGGGCTGTTCACTTGAAACCCAAAGTTACTTGACAGGGGAGAGTTTTAAAATGTTGATACTATTTCTTTTCTGTCTACTTGCAAATTAAAGAAGAACCATGCTAAACTTATGTAGTAACACCTTTGGATTAAAAAAAGTATCATTACAGTGCTAATTAACATAAACACTGTTTGCATAAGAGTGGGTTTTAGTCAAGATGACTTGTGATGAATGGATAGTCCTTTCTCACTCCCAGTTTCCCTGGCACACCTAGATAAAGAAATTTGTGGGTATTTATGGGGAAATGTATCAACTTCTAACCTGTAAAAATCTGGTATTTGTGTAACATTCAGATGAGTACTGTTATTTAATAGGAGCCTCTGACTTTGGGTAGACAATTTCAGCTCCTCTAGTGAGGAACTGGAGATGAGATTCTTCAGCTTTATTTCCGTGTCTTACATGAAGTTGCTATGTGACGATGGGTAAATTACTTAGGGTTGGTCTACACCCTGAACTTGCAGTGGTTTAACTAAAACTGGTAAATTACTAAATTTACCTAAATTGATATAAGCCAGTTGTGAACGCATTTCCTGTTAATAGGTTTGTACTGGTTTAACTAAATTGATTTAAAAATACTTTAGTTAAACTGGTGCAAGTTGCATGTAGACTCATTTCTTCACCAATAAAAAAGTTACTTACCTTGCAGGTGTGTTGTGAAGCTTAATGAATATTTCGTAAAGTACTTTGAGATCCCTGGAGGAAGTGTATTTCTGTAGCACATTATCCAGTCACCGTCAAACCCAATGTGGGTGATATGCTTATTCAATGCTCAGTGTTCTAGCAGATACACTGAATTCCACGGAGACCTGTTGGAATTATGTTATGCAGAAACAAATATGCTATGTAATGGGCCCTGAAACTTGCAAAAGCTGGGCTTTGTTGAGATGGCAGAGAAGAGTTTCACAGGTGAGGATGCTCAACTGTGATTGTCCTGCTTGTAGTCTAGGACAATGAAGTTCAGGAACCATCAGCATAGCAACCGGCAGTCCTAACAGTCTTGAGAATTAGGGCTTGTCTATAAAATGGCATGAACCTAACTAAACTGATTTAAAATGTATCTAGTTAAACTGGTGCATCTTTTCTAATGTAGACAAGCCTTTAAATCTTGTGACTGACACCTTCACCTACAGACCTGAACTGAACAGAAATGGAGGGCATGTCATGGCGCACAGGTGCAATGTTTGACCATCTCCTTAGGAGCAGAGTTGCTGAACTCTGCACCAGCTGAAGCTTTTCCAGCTCTTCACTTGCAGCACATTGCAGCACCTATCCTGAGATAATGCAGGTGACTCACTAATTTCAGTCACTCTTTTTAGCACTGACCCAGGACAAAACACAAAGTAATCTTCATGCCCTAAATGTATGGGGTTTGAGTAGATCTAATTAATGCTTTCTCCCCATTTTATTTAACCAGAACAATTCCCAAACTGTTAACCTGAATTGCTGTTTTTGCAGGAAGCTTGAACTCAGCCAATAAATAAATAAAAATTAAAGAACATTTTTTTTGTGGGGGCAGGGCTTATGCTGTTAAAATACTCTGTGTTGATAGTTAAAAGCGCATCCACAATGCAATGGTGTGGAAGAACATATGTGGTGTAAACTTTCTAGCAGGGCTCAGGGATTGCTTTGGTTTAGCATTAGTCTGTCCATCTCAGCAGACCCTGTCCTTAGTTCTTGGGGTGTGTGAAAATGGCACCAGGTTACAGCCATCCATATTAGTAGGCAATCTGCAAACTTCCTCCAAATTTGGCTGTCAGTTCTGGTCTGCATCATCCCTGGTCTTCTAGTTTTAGCCTTAGCTTGAGCAGTAGTGGTGTGGGGAATGCAAATTTAGGATGGGGGGGGGGGGCAAGGTCTGATTTGTGTCAACTGGGAATCTGAATCCAGGGTTCTTGCAGCGTAAAAACTATTGTGTATAACCACACAGGCACCTTCCCTTCTCAATGATGCTTTGATCCCAACAACCAAAGGTGTTCTAGAGCCAAGAGATAAGCTAGACATCCTTGCCTCAAAGTTCTTTCTCACTAAATAGTCATGTGGAGGGATTTAGTGACTTCCATTTTTAAACCTCGACTATGATGTGGCTAGTATTTTCAGAAGAAAGGAACAATAAAAATACCATTTAAAGGCAAGTAATTGGGTATGCCCAGTCCTCTTAATAAATAGGGCATGGGAGTCATTTCAACAGAATGCTCTCTTTTTAAATAAGCTTCCTTCAACTTACTCTCGCTGGATTTGGTGGTTGAGTTGCTGTGTCCTCTCAATGTAAAAAAACAGGAACAAAAGATTAGTGCAATTCTGCATGTGCTGACTTACAGCCCTATTAAAGAATGCTTTTGTCATGGGGTTGGTGGGATAAGAGAGATGTACTGCGCTGCGGGCACCATTGCTTCTTCAAGGCACTTTTCGAAAATTGTAGGCGGTAGCACAAGGGCTTGTGAGTTTGGCTGCGGCCAGCTCTTCAGGGAAGTTATTACTAGTATCACCCTGAGAGTCCCCATAAAGTACGAGCTTTGGGCGAATTATTCAGAAATGCAGATGCTGTTTATAAAGCTCTTAATGGTAGAGGCTGGGCTCTCCTGCTCGGACTTTCCTGGCTATCACCTTTTGTTTTCAATGGGGGCTAATAGATTAACCCCCCCCCCCACAGCTTTCCAGGATAATGCCTTGAGAGCACTGAGGGGTGGTATTTAAGGTCAGTAGCCTCTTTGTCTCCTTTCCTTTGGGCCAGGTTGGCACTAATGGGCTCCACCAGGCAGGGTCTCTGGCCAGGAGGAATCCAGCAGTGGGCCCTTCACTTCCAGGCTGCCTTGCCTGTCAACTTGTTAGTTAAAGGAAACTGAGCACCTGGCTGCCTGGGCAATATGTTGCCCCAGGGCCTTGGGGGGGAGACAAGAAGGGCTCAAGGGCTGGTGCTGGCCCTCAGGCTCCTAGGCAGCAGGTCACCTGTGGGCCATGTCCCTGACCTTTCTCTGCATCCAAGTGCTCGGGGGGGCTGAGCCGTCAGCGCCTGGAGAGACTGTTCTCGGTGGGGCGCAGGAGCGTGGCTTGCCCCCTTCCCTGCCAGCCTTGCCCCATGCCAAAGGAGACCTCCCGGCCGGGCCGTGCCCAGGTAGGGCAAGGTGGGGAGCAGCATAGGGTGACCAGAGAGCAAGTGTGAAACACGGGGACAGGTGTGTGTGTGGGGGGGTAATAGGTGCCTATGGAAGACAAAGCCCCGAATAGCAGGACTGTCCCTACGACGTGGGGGCAGCGGTAACCCCCAAAAGCCGCCCTTGCAGAGCCCGCTCTGTCTGCTGCCTTTCCTCCGCCCCCTGCCCCTTCTCCGCAGGGAGCGCCCAGCCTGGCCCCCCCCCGGCACCCCTGCTCGGGACTGGTGCCAAAAAAACCCAACGATGGGATGCGGTTGCCGGGGTAACCAGACTGGACGTCACAATCTGGGCATGTGTAATTCCGGGGGGGGGGGTGTCGCTGCAGGCTGGAGGGGTTGGGGCTGGAGCGGGGGCGGGAGGAGAGAGAGGCCGGGGGAGGGAGGAGGGGGGGGGGAGGGAAATTGCTTCTTAAAAAAAAAAAAAAAAACCCACCCAGGGCCGCCGCAGCCATCTTCGCGCGGAGCAGCCGCTCCCTGCGCCCGGCAGGTGGGAGCATGCGGGGGCCGGCGGGGGCCGGGGCCGAGCCGCGGGGCGCGATGGAGAACGAGGAGGAGCTGTCAGGTAGGGGGGCGCGGGGCGGGCCGCCGGCGGGGGGGAGGCTGCGGTGATGGGCGGCGGAGCGCGGCCGGCAGGGAGGGAAGGGGGCTGGTTCCCCCCTGGCCGGGGGGTGGCCGAGCCTGGGGACCGTGTCCCGGGGCCAGCCGGGGAGAGGGGTCCCCTGGGCTCCGCTCCGGTGTGCGGTCCGCGGAGCCCGCCGCCTTCCCCGCCGGCCCGGAGGCCAGGCTCCACGGGCAGGTACTTTCGGAGCCTCGCCTGTCGCCGGGCAAGTGCCCTCCTGGCGGGACTGGCCCCCCTTCCCGGTGTGCGGGGGGGTCGACACCGCTGCGCCCCAGGGTCCTGCCAGCACCCCGGGGTCCCCTCTGGTTCCTTCTGCACCCCGGACCCAGAGGCCCACCGCCTGCAGGGGGGGAAATAACGCCGGCCGTCCGGGACATAAGGGTGAAAAGCTCTAGAGGGGTGCGGAGCCGCAGCCCCGTTCACCATCAACAGCGGCTGTGGGGGACTCCGCACCTTTGAAGATCTGGCCCTTAGTTCCCTCCTGTGACTTCTTCTTCTCTTCCCTCAGTGCCTAACATCCCTGCCTGGCCTGGCTAGCTGAAGGCCTAAATAACTAGCTGAAACCTCAGGCAGAGAGAAAATTGGAGTGGTTTTTAATTTTTCCCTACTTACTGTACTGGGTCTTTTTGTGTTGGAGACGAACTGACGCCACTCCTTAGAGCTAAGCAGAGTGATGGCTGGAGCAACGTATGCCTTTCCAGAGTGTATGTGGCTTTGTACCCTGGGCAAATAGCCATTTGTAGACTCCTGGTGGGGTGTGACAAGGGTCTGTCTGGCCTGATTCGTGTTTTATGCAGGATCCCATCTCTACATCTTTCCCACTAAAGACTTTTTGGACCCATTCTTTGATATCTGTGGTGACTGGGCCTAGAGACCCTTTTCCTTGGAAGTTTCCCTCTTAAGTGTCAGGTACTGCTCCTTGACCTACCACCTTCTGAGGATGTGAAAAATCTTTTCTTTACATTTGCAGTGTTACCTGGAAGGGATTTACAGATGGGTCATGTGCCTCCCTTGGTCTTCTCTTTCCCAGCCTTTGTATGTTTACCTCCCTCATTCTCTCCACTGACGTTTTACCTATGATTCTTGTATCACTTTTACTTCCCTTTGCTTTTCTTGAGGTTTCTCTATATCGTGGGGACTGTCCAGGGGGATTATTAAGGCCAACAGACTCATTTCAATGAAGCCTAAACCAGATTTAGTAGTTGAAAGACTTTTTTATTTTCCTGTTTTGTTTTTCTTAATTGGCCCATTGATTGCTTTACCTGGCTGTACCTGGCACATTTGAAACCTACCTGCTGAGCTGACAGAAGTGCTGAGTACGTTTCAGGTAGAAAGCAGCTAGCAGACATTTCAGGTGCATCTTGGTAGAGGAAAAGAGGGCAGGGAAATAATGAAATAAAGGCTTAACTTATTCAGGGAGTCTTATTAATTGTAAGACTTATAGCTGAGCACTGAGAGATGGATTTCCTTAGTTGTGACATCAATAAATATAGTAATAATCTGTCCTGCTATTTGGCTAGAGACCTTACTTGGCATCAGGGGCATGCTCAAAGGGGTGGGGGCAAGCAGAGGCCCAGGCCCCCCCATGTCAGGGGCACAGAACTCCTCTGGGCCTGGGAGAGCGAGCTCCTGTGGCCCTGGACTGGGGCAGGAGACGAAAGGTCCTCCGGAACTGTGGAGGGAGGACCAGTTCGATCGGCCCCGTGGTTGCGGGAGGGGGGAGGGAGAGCGAGCCAGCTCTGCCGTTGGGGCTGCGGTGGGGAGAGGCAGCTCCTCTGGCCTTAGGGTGTGGGGGCGAGGCAGCTCCACTGGCCGTGGAGGGAGGGAGGGGGGAAAACAGCTCCTCCGGCCATGGGGGGCACACAAAGTGCCCCTCCCCCAAAGCAGCCAAATATTTATTCCTGGGAATTCCTAATATGTGGCATCCTCCTGCAGAACGGCACATAATTACCTTGCTAAGTCTGTGTGAGGGTCTTCAGCAGCACTCCTGTTTGTGTAGGTCTTTGTTTTCAGGTTTTGGGGAAAAGTTTCTGCTTGTACATAGAGGCTGATATTTTACAAACCAAAACTACATCCACAAATTAAAAAACTCCTATAGCATCTGTTAAAGGAGCCACTTTGGCCAAATTCGTGCTCGCACAAATGGCTAAAAATCCATACGAGCCAATGGAGTTGTACTTGCCTATGCCAACAGGGCCAAATGTACCATTCTGCAGGGAATCCGCACCAGGGCTATGTGGCACTTAAATCTCACTGTGCTGGCTGCTGCACAAGGGTGAATTCTACCCATAGTGAATTTGGTCCTAACAGCGCCTCTCGTTTTCTTACATTGCTAAAATAAATGTTCTCCTGAGCGGAAAGCCTGAATGCAGCCCATTTAGTGGAGAGCAATGGTATAGGAGTGAGTCAGAGTTCCTGAAAAGTAGGGGCTGATAATGCTACTTCTGACAAGCCCGAAAATCCAGCAACCCCCGTGGTGAGGCGGTAATAAGGGTACCTGGTGCCAATATCATGTGGACTGTCATCCATAAGCGATTGAGATTCCAAAAGCCCATCAAACATATTTCATTTAAAACATGAGGGCAGGAGTGAAACACCCATCTTTACAAGCTGCACAGCTATTCATCTCCATCCTGTCCTTAATTTTCCAAAGCATGAAGAATTCTTAATGTCTGGCAGATGGATGCCTCCCCATCAGTGTCAAGAATGGATCTATTCTTCTTCCTTCCCAGAAATGACTCTGGAGGAGATTATTAAGATCTCTCTGGTTTTTACTCTTAATGCACCTGACTGAAGTGCAATCAGAGAGGTAATCAGAGCCCACAATAGAGCCATGCAAATGAGTGAGTGTGAGTTTGCATGTGCTGGAGAGAGATGAGAGTGTGGTAGATTAACATGAACTCAGTAAAATAACTTGTGTCCAGCTGTTTCCTGTTAAAGATATTAGTGCATCTCAAATTCACCTGCAAAATCTATCCCCATTGCATCCTCTCTCTTCCTGATTTTTCACTTCAGTTACCAATAATCTCCATATGCAGAATTACATTTACTGATTATTCTTTGTATGGAGGTGTTTAAAATTTGCAAATTAGCATGTTTTCCATACACTGATTACAAAACACGTGCTTTTGGTGAAGATAACTCTGCTTTGAAGTTATGGAAAACATGAAGGAAAAACGAACATAAAGTTTCCAGCAGAGAGAATGCCAAGTTGTTTCTCACTCTGTAAGATTCTCCATCTTGAACAGCAGTAGGTATCACATCTGAGTTAGTGCTGCTTGAATTAGTATTGACTTGGCCTCAGGGCTTGCATCTCCCTCAGACCAGGGTGTTTTGTGCAGGTCGGGGGTACCTGGGTTGTAACAGCCTGTTTCCTGCAAGGGTGTTTTGGTCCTGAAGTTTCTGTTCACTTTGAGAAGTGGGGTCAGGGACAGGTCAGGGGCGATGGATAGGCTGGCTTAGAGGTCAGTGACAAATATTCTCCGTTCCCATCATCTTTTCTCCATGTCGGTTTGTTCAGTTGAATCACAATGCTCAGGACGTTGTTTAGGTCTCAGTGAGATGTATACCCAAGAATGAGAAGGCATGAGGATGTTTTTTTATTAGGGTCGCCAGGGGGATCCAAATGAGCTTTATGGTAGGACTGTAGCTTTCACCTCTCCATAACACATCACACATCGGTAGAGCTGGGACTGGCTCCTTGGTCCGTTCAGTTAACACAGGTCTTCACAAGGATTGCCCTTGTGTTCTTTCTAAGTGACAGCTGGTCGATAGAGTTCAGCAGTCTCTCTCTGGTCTGTTTCTCAGCCATGCTGAATTGCTCACTTGGACGGGGGGGCTCTTGTCCCTTCTGCACAGGAGTTGGTGAGTCTCTGTGCAGTTCCTAGCAGATGGCATGCTGACCAGGTTGTAGCTGTCAAAGGATAAGCAAAGAACTTCAGTGTCCAGGGCTGCGAATGCAGCAACTTTCATGAGCATGAATTTCACTGAAAACCATTGTTAAACTTTGAAGAGTTTTATTTCCCCTTGTAAAGAAAGTTTAGTTCAATTTTCTTATCAGTCGCTGGCTAGATAATTGTTCCCCTTCTCTAATAAAAATGGAACACATTAATGCAGATGCTGTAGGGTTGTTGGATTTAAAATCCAACCCTGAGGGGCTGGCTTTCAGCTCCTCAGTGTGTGTGAGAGTTGGGGAAGGAATGAGGGTTGTCACTTCTTATGAAAGCCTTGAAAGGGAGCATAGCTCGAAACACATGTGTGGACCTGGTGTCACCCTGCACCCCTGGCCTCCATGAAACATCTGAGCAGTTTAGCATCTCTATCCATTCAGTTGAAACAGCAGCGTTTCTAACTTTTGGGAATTCCTGGCTTCCCTTTCATAGATTTCGTAGAACCATAGATTCCAAGGCCAGAAAGTACCATTGTGATCATCGAGTCTGACCTCCTGGATAGCACTGGCCAGAGAACTTGTCCACAATAATCCCTAGAGCAGAGCTTTCAGAAAAACATCCCATCTTGATTTAAAAATTGTCAGTGATGGAGAATCCACCATGACCCTTGGTCGACTGTTCCAATGGTTAATTGCCCTCACTGTTAAAAATGCATGGCTTATTTCCAGTCTGAATTTGTCTCGCGTCAGCTTCCAGCCATTGGATCATGTTATAATTTCCCCTACTTGTCTGAAGAGCCCATTATCAAAGATTTGTTCCCCATGCAGGCTCCTTCCCTTGCCTTCTTCTGCAGCTGCCTGGCTTATGCTCTTCCCAGACCTTTGGCTGGAGCTGTCATTTTCTGAGAGAGGCTGACCTGGGCCAGTTCGGCCTCCAATGCTGCAGCTTCCAGCAAGTGACTGTGATTGTAGCAGATGCCTCTGCTTCTTTTGGACTAATGAGAGTGACCTGGTCAGTATTTTATCTTTCCATTTCGTTCAATTAAAAATATCC